CATAAACTTTTTCTGCCAGTTGGTATCTTTTTAATGTTTTGACCGATCTTCATTCAATCTATAAACCTTTTATACAATAATTACATATACATATATTACAATATCAACGAATACAACTATATTGACAATATACCGAAGTCTTCTCACGCGTGTCTCCTGAATGAGACGGTATACTTTGTCATTCGCTCTTTTACTGCATTTCGTGGCAACAGGAAGTTCAGACTAGAAAATTGTCTCTCCGTTCATTTCGGTAAATTGAAAACACGGACAGTCGTGATTGCGTTTCTTTTAAACAAAGGTCGAAGGTTTAAATTACTTATTGGCAGGCTTGTGTATAATAAACTGATGGACGGTACATCCTGGTTAATCCTACCGTCTGCTTGATTACCCGTATCGCCATTTAGATGGTTCGAGATACCGTATACCTATCACGTTCGTGACGTCGCCTTGTCGTTAGGAATCTTAATAACTTCCGGTCCGGGCTGAAATCTGTCTCCTACGGAAAACGTTAAGATGGATACCGTATATGTACTCAGTAGGACACGACTTAGATAACGGTTTATGGTTACGTGTCTGTTAATGGTTATCAGTCTGTCTACTTTATTTATCAAACTTTCGTTAGCTAATCCTATTACGGTACTTTATGTTTTCAACATATTAAGAGTATAGACTTAGTAAAGCGCCATTACGTAGTCTTGGCCATATAATGTTAAGTAAGTGTGCGGCACAAATAATTACGTTGATGGCAAATTCAAGATGGCCAGGAAGGTACTTAAAACTGCAGGAGATTTCCATTTTAATATTCTCCAACTCGCCGTGTAATCACCGTTTACAACATACAAATAGAATTACATTGACATAAATTCACTACAATCAATTAATTGAAATCTTACATTCCGAACTCCTGGTATTAATGGCACTGTTTAGTGAAGGTATAATGATCGTGTATCCGGTCGGGAGTATTATGTCTGGAGACCTGGTTAAAAAAGCATTAACGGAAATAAAATATCGTAATCCCAACGACAAATTGACCTAGTAGTTCACAAGAAATGTTTACTGTCTCTACCGTCAGTGAAAGTCACATATAAATGCTCCGTCAAGACAATCAGCTTGACTTAGTAATTGTCAGAAAATTGTCCTTTGCCTCAGCTGAATTTCATATCGTTTTGTTCTTGTCAGCTCGTATGACACAGAAAAACTCACTTCCTCAGCTAATAACTGTGCATAGGGAGGGGTAGGGGGAGGGGACAGGGAAACACAAATAGAAAAGAATAGCGACTTAAAAGGAAGATTGGAGAGAAATATGAACAAAATAAACTTTTAAGGGAAGTGTGATGATGGAAAGGGAGAAGAGATAATGGAAAACCAGTCAGGAATAGAGGAACGAGTTAAAAGGAAGATAGGATTGAAATATAGAAAAATAAACATCTGAGGGAGAAGTGACCTTAGAAAGGGAGAAAAGATAATGCAAAAACAAGCCAGGGACAGAGAAGCGACTATAAGGATTGACATCAAAATTGTTTCTAGTAGGATAAGCATTATCTAAAAAAATCTGTCCAGGGGACAATATGAAAGCCAGGTAAGGAAATGTGTAAAATCACGTTAATAGTGTTATGAATAAGAGCTATAACATAAGAAAAGGTTCGGAAAACAACATTGAGTGCGAGCCATCGGGTTTGTACAGGGGACGGGGAAGCATTATGAGTGCGAGCTATCGAGTTTGCACAAGGGATAGGAAACAACATTATGAGTGCGAAACATCGAGTTTGTACAAGGGACGGGGAAAACATTATGAGTGCGAACTATCGAGTTTGTACAAGGGATGAGGAACAATATTATGAGTGCGATCTATCGAGTTTGTACAAGGGCCGAGGAGCAACATTAAGATCGCGATTTATCGAGTTTGTACAAGGGACGAGGAACAACATTATGAGTGCGAGCTATCGATTTTGTACAAGGGACAAGGAACAAGATTAAGAGTGCGAGCTATCGAGTTTGTTCAATTGACGAGGAACATCATCAAGAGATCGAGCTGTCGAGTTTGTTCAAGGGACGAGGAACAACATTATGAGTGCGAGCTATCGAGTTTGTTCAAGGGACGAGGAACAACATTATGAGTGCGAGCTATCGAGTTTGTACAAGGGACAGGAAACAACATTATGAGTGCGAGCTATCGAGTTTGTTCAATTGACGAGGAACAACATTCTGAGTGTGAGTTATCGAGTTTGTTCAAGGGACGAGGAACAACATTATGAGTGCGAGCTATCGATTTTGTACAAGGGACAAGGAACAACATTAAGAGCGCGAGCTATCGAGATGTACAAGAGACAAGGACCAACATTGTAAGTGCGAGCTATCGAGTTTGTACAAGGGACGAGGAACAACATTAAGAGTGCGATTTATTGAGTTTGTACAAGGGACGAGGAGCAACATTATGAGTGCGAGTTATCGATTTTGTACAAGGGACAAGGAACAAGATTAAGAGTGCGAGCTATCGAGTTTGTTCAATTGACGAGGAACATCATCAAGAGATCGAGCTGTCGAGTTTGTTCAAGGGACGAGGAACAACATTATGAGTGCGAGCTATCGAGTTTGTTCAAGAGACGAGGAACAACATTCTGAGTGTGAGTTATCGAGTTTGTTCAAGGGACGAGGAACAACATTATGAGTGCGAGCTATCGATTTTGTACAAGGGACAAGGAACAACATTAAGAGTGCGAGCTATCGAGTTGTACAAGAGACAAGGAGCAACATTGTGAGTGCGAGTTATCGAGTTTGTACAAGGGACGAGGAACAACATTAAGAGTGCGATTTATTGAGTTTGTACAAGGGACGAGGAGCAACATTATGAGTGCGAGTTATCGAGTTTGTTCAAGGGACGAGGAACAACATTATAAGTGCGAGCTATCGAGTTTGTACTAGGGCCGGTCAACAACATTATGAGTGCGAGTTATCGAGTTTGTACAAGAGACGAGGAACAACATTATGAGTGCGAGCTTTCGAATTTGTACAAGGAACGAGGAAAAACATTATGAATGCGAGCTATCGAGTTTATACAAGGGACGAGGAAAAACATTATGAATGCGAGGTTTCGAATTTGTACAAGGGACGAGGAACAACATTATGAGTGCGAGCTATCGAGTTTGTACTGGGAACGGGGAACAATGTCACTGAGGCGAGCTTACCAAAATTGTAAAATGTACGTGGAACAATGTCATTGAGGCTAGCTTTCCAAAATTGTGAAAGGTAGGTAACATATAGAATGCTTGGTGTAGGCGAGGTAGTAAATATGTTAGAGCTTCGGTAACAATATTTTGAAGGTTAGCTTCAAGATAATGTGAAAGGCACAGGGACGATTTTGTTAAGATCAGCTGCCGAATTTGTAAAAGTTATGGAAAAGAATATTTCAGAGAGAGAGAGAGAGAGAGAGAGAGAGAGAGAGAGAGAGAGAGAGAGAGAGAGAGAGCACCATGCAAAACGAGGTACGGGAAACAACATCATGAGGGCGAGCTGCTAATTTTTTCAAAAGGTGCGGGAAACACACCAGTATGGACAGGCTTCATTGTTATTTTAACGTTCTATCAACATCTATAGTCATTGGAGGTCGGCCTATCAGGAGACTGCGAAATGCGAGAAAGCCTTATTGTAATATAATGGAACTAAGGACGACTTTATAGTGATACCACACTGAAGCATACTGCCGAAGACCCCAGCAGGACATCTCACCCGGTTACATTATACTGGGTAAAGTAGTTGTTACTCTACCAAAATTTGGAACACTGGATAAGTGAAGACACTAGTATGTCTTGGCCTAAGTGTAGAACCCAAAGCCTTTCTCAAAGGGATGAACGTTCACCTAAAGGCCAAAGATGAGACAGTGCCAGGGGAGACAGCAGGAACGCAGATCTTTAGAAAAGAGAGAAAATATAATGATTCCAAGTTTGCGTGCTTCTTGCGACCATACATATGTGCAGCAGGTACACTATTCTTCCGCTCCACATGCAGGGCAGAACATCATGAACGCCATCTTTCATTTGTATCAGGTACGTGTGAAAGGAACAAGCAACTTCCTTGTGAAGGCTAGCGGGTGAAGGGTACGAGGACAAACAGCATGGGGACGGACTGCTTCATTTCATAAAGTACTGGGAACAGTCTTATTAAGATGAATTATCAAATGTGGAAGGTACATGGAATAACACACGGAGTTTTCACCATTAATTGAAATCTAAATGTTTAAAGTGCTTCAGTCGTTATTAGTTACTTCTTGCAATTAACACTCGTATTTCCCCGTGTTCCGAAGCAGTGTCATGGGACGCGATTGAAGGGAGTTAACTCGAGCAATCCTTGTCCTGGCTAGGTTGTTTTTTAATATGAATGATAGTGACTCGTAGAAAGGACTAAATAAGATATTTGTAAACTGAAATATTATACGGAACATAATTCGCGTACAAATGGGTAGACGCATCTTATTGTCATAACATGCGTTTAACGTCTGTTTCCAGTTGAGTGATTTAGGTATTTTCTTAACTGAGCAATGGAAATGTCATGCCTGGAGACGTATATTCGAATAGTTGCATCACAAAATCCAATTCTATTCGTTCGTTGTGTTTGTTAATACACGTATAAGAATTTTATAAGAAGTTTATATAGATATCATGCTCAAAAATGTAAATACAAGTCGACTTTCTATCGTGTGTCTGTTTTTGTAAATATAGTTCAACTTTTTGAGGGAACTAAAATTTTCTTATATTTCTGAATCAATCTATCAAACCAAAATATCGCAATAGCTTCTAAATTTGATTGCTTCCTTTGGTTCTTTCTTTATCCGACATGACTTCATAGCCTAATATACCTCTCTCTCTCTCTCTCTCTCTCTCTCTCTCTCTCTCTCTCTCTCTCTCTCTCTCTGTTGGATATTCAGTTGACAAGACAAGTGTGATAAAGATTTTTTAATGTCGACACAATCACTTCAATGACATCCAAATGATTTAATGATTTAATCATAAAACACTAAAGGATCTCCTGTCGAGCCTTCTGTCGAGCCTATCCCTCCTGTCGAGACTCTCCAGAATGTCGAGATTATCCAGCCTATCCCTCCTGTCGATCCTCCTGTCGAGCCTATCCAGCCTGTCGAGACTATCCAGCCTATCCCTCCTGTCGAGCCTCCTTTCCAGCCTGTCACGTCGTCGTCCGCGCCAACATCGTCGCTTCTTGCGACATATCATCTAGAAACAAAATTTAAAAAAAACAATAATATCAATAACACCCACGAAACGACCGAATATTGACAGGACAACCATACGATATCGCTTACATGTTCCAACCAGTTTATCATCACCATCATCATCATCATCATCTTTCCGTAGCGACGAAACGAATCAACGAAAAATGTTAGAGTTGGGTTGTTGATCATTTTGTTCCGCTGTTAATCGTTATTTCTCTCTGAGGTAACACTTATCTTAGTTTTGTCGTCCGTGAGGTGAAAAGACAATTCATAGATTCTTTGTCTTCTCGTTCTGTCGTTCCAAGGTGAATAAATGAATAATATCAACATAGCAAAGCAGACACAACCGAGTGGAATTAACGTGTCCAACTTTGGATTACTTTCACCAACCGAATACCGTGTGTCGGAAGTATTAACCATACTTAGTAGTTATGCGACTGCTGAAGAAATTGTGATACCCTGGTTGTACTACCCATATAACTAATAATGTGACGAGCAATGTAAGTATTAGACTATAAAAATGACATGTAGTATCAAAAGTACACAACTAGTTATGTAACTTGAATCTATGTGTAGTAAAAACACAGCAGAAATAGTGAAAAACATTGTTTATTCAATTATCAATTTTTAATGTTTCCATCTTTCTCTCTAAGGATATGATACAGTCACCTGCATTCTATATCACAATGTAAAGTTATAATTGATCGTGTTTTGATATGTGAATTAGAAATAAATACCTATTATTGTCTCCTTGTCACATTTTATCCGCTTTGTTGTATCAGCGAGCTATGTTGTCTTTCGTTATTTCTTGTGATAATCAATTTAATTAAGATTTCGCAACCTGTTTCTAGTTTTTTCGTTGTTTAAACAAATGAGTGTGGTGTATTCCTAATATCAACGATACGAAACAAAATACATTTTATGTAATTCATCTTTAAGATTGAACATGTTTGGTACAAATTTCAGGTGTTCTTTCTTTCTGTATTAGCGAATACATACACTACTTCCTATTTTACTTCTAAATTTTAGTTTTAATCACTTGATTTTAAAATATTACACATACTATACCTTTGAATGGGAGAAACAAACCTAAAGCTAGATCATTCCCAATATGATGAAAGATGAAAATCAATATTTCAAAAGCTAGTAACTGTGTGTGCGCGTGTTCTATTTAAGATGTGGACACCTAATTAAATGTTTTCTGCATATTGTTTAACGTGGCATATTTGAACAACAAAAACCAAAAATACATCATCTAAAATATGTATTCTGAATGCCCTAAAAAGAAAATGTGGTTTCATATTTCAAGCTTCATCCTCTATGCGCCATGTTCAAACTGGATCAAAACAGAATGCGCCATGTCTCTGATCCAGTACATAGGAGCAAGAAGAATGTCCTGCCCTGGTTAAGACTTCAATTAGCCGCATTATCTTTCCACAAAATGTAAATGATCACAAAAAGAGTATATTGAATTCTCTACATAAACAATCCAACGTAAACAGCAATAAGGAAAGGTTAAAGCTGTCATAATCATACCTGATCCTGATCCTCAGTTCACTTTAAACATGTAGATCCATTCGTACTTGTAACATTGGTATATCATTTGAAATATATCTATGATATTTCACGAATATTGTTTACCTGTATTGCAAGTTACAACAACTTTATTTACTCTATGCTCTGTGATGGAACGCATTAACAGTATAACTGTTATAATGTACAAATACAACAACTTAGAAACATATACATTCCTAGAAGGTAATTCATTCCAGATCATCATTGCAGATGTCCAAGGTTCATTAAATGAAAAGATTGTTTTTCATTTTCAATAAGCGTTTAATTTCAAACGGTTATAAATTCTTAGAATGTTAAACATACTATAAAGTGATCTATCAATATTGTTAACACGTATTATAGGTTACAACAACTTAATTTACTCCATGATCTGCTTCCGGTTTTCACTGTCCTTGCATGTATTAGATATTCAGAAAAAGGTCATTTTTGTAAGCATACATGTATTACTATGTAGTTAGCCAAAACTTAATTTGCCAGCCATGTTTCATTTCTTACTTTATAAACTGACCTCTTTTTCACGCTTTACGCGTGACTGAGCGATATGAATGAATGAATGAACGAATTAATCAATTAATAGAACTCATGACCTGATAAGCAATCCTTGGCAAAAACTTCCGTCAAGAAAGCACTGGATGAAGTCTATCTCAAAGAAGTCGAGATATGGTACAGAAATAGAACTGGAATTGACGAATAGACGGACGGAGTTGTGTATCCTACTTACCTCCCCTTCAACACAACGACATTTCCTACAAGCGGTATGCTTCCCCTCCTCGGGACTGTAGAAGCGACCACGGTGAAGACAGCCTGAAATATAAGAATCATGTAGAGATGTCTAGGATTCTAGGTCGCTGAGACAAAATACACCATTTCATTACTGATATAGTCATCTAAAAATGTCTGAATACATTTAAATACAGAGCCTGAAAGGATATTACTAATAATATTATTAACCCTAAATTACTCCTCTCCGAAACGTCCTAAAATGACGTCATATAAGAATACTTCAATATGAAAGGTCAATGAAATTCTGACGAAAAAAAATGTCATAGAAACAATAAAAAGTTACCGTGTGTTTGATGGAGAGAGAATGAATTAGAATGATGACCACGTCACTAATTTGATTCGATCATATATCTTTTCATAAAAGTTAGGAACGTTTGAATCAGAGTTTGTTTACTATGGGAAAAGATTTGCTTTATCTTTGGTAACTGCATATACAAGTACATATCCTGTTTTGAAAAAGATGTCCGTTCGTGTAAACACTTTTGGTTAAATGATATTATAGCAGATATATATCTGTTTGTACATACCTAGTTTGCAGTGACAGTGAGCCGCCTGTCCCTCAAAACAAGGAATGTAACTAGATACGGAAGTCAATACGCAGTGGTAGCCTGGGACATCGCATCCATTGGTCCTATAGAGAGACTAAACAGTATGACTTTTCTATAAACAGAAATACAAACGGGGGTGTAGCGAATACATTATACCATTGCACTGGCGGATCCAGGGGAAGACACAAATTGGGATTTTTTCAGTTTAAAAACGTTCGCTCCCTTTAACACCTAATCCTGAATCCGCGTCTGGATTGCAGTTAATGTTGGCTTGGCTTCGGCAAAAATCATGTGTAGAAGTAAAACGTTGTAAAACAATGATTGTCTCCCTTCCTTTACTGACGTTTGTTATGGCCATGGACGATTTACCATAATTATGAATCAAGTAATGTGTAATATTTCGAGTTGTTCATTTCAATCATATTAACTAAACGCCACGGAATTCCAATAGAACTAAGCATAACTCAAACATTTTCTCTCACTTTGGAAAGATTTCAAGTTTAATATCGATGATCAGTTCTTTTGCGATTTGTTGTTTAGGTATTTAACGACACTTTCGGGTTTTTTTTTTTTTTTTTTTACTTTTGTGGGAAAAAACGGTAATAACTACATCTAAATGTAATTTAAATCTTGAATCCAATTTGTGTTTAGTATTGTTTTAATCAATCAATTAATCAAATATACCGTGAAGCAAAATATTCAAAAGTTGGAAATTTTAATAAATAAATAATTAAATAAAAACAAAAATTAAGGCTATAAAACTATCTTGCAATGACGATTTCAGACTAGTTGATTGAATTGTGATTGCGATATTTCGGGTTTACATATACATCATTTTCACATATATTGTAGGCACTTTAGCTTAGCTTGAAGTAATACCTGTGTTGACAACGGTCTCCTACGTGACCATGGTCCAGTCCTTCCGTGTCCCCCAATATCCTGTCAATTGGTTCCTCCAATAAGTGATCATGATGGATAGCTCTCCGGCGACCACCTATGATGCCCTCTAATAGACTTGAAACCAAACCACTTCCGATTCCAACAGGCGCAGGGAGGGTTCTTCTTGTGGACAACGCAATCGGTGGTGGCTTTAGCAGAGAACTTTGGTGTATGGGCAATACTGTCGGTAGTGAAAGACCATGGGGCTCGGGTACAGGTATCACAACACCTTCAGACACATGTCCGAGCAATGCAAGAATTAAAACAACCCACATGACGACTGAAAGGTAGCAAAGACATCCCGTTTAGGTGTTTTATAAAGGCTTATATAGACGTCAATTGGCGGACATCCATCAGCACTACTCTCCATCAAGAACGCAGTAACCATGAAAGCTACGCTACATCGGAAAATTAAACCAAACAAAATCTAGACAAAAAGTCGACATTGACCAAATCATGTACAATGTGCACTTGTTCTTGTGTTAAATGTATATCTTATATTGTTTATAATTGACGTCCATCACCATTAAACGATTAACCATTGTTCTTCCCCTAAACAATCACCAATTAGTAAAACAATATAGACTGTATTAGACACTGCAGGAAACTGCTGAGAATGGTGATGTGCATGGTAGCGTCACATGTAATGGTAACGATTGATAAGCATGCCTAAACTTATTCACCGTGACGCACCAGGAGAAACATCGAATACCATGGAATATGTATGACATTAACTTAAATGTACAATGTGAATAGACATTACCATGAATTTTAAATGTAAGATTTGGTGGAGTAGGGATCTTTTAATACGTTGCGTTTGTCTCTTAAGAATAATGCGTGCGAAAATATTGCCATAATTTTCTTCACACTTCTGTGTCGTAGATGAGGAAATCATTCCTATATGATTGGACGTTGGGGGTTTGTTTACAAACAGTTCCGTGGTTATATGTAACAACATAGTTAAATGGATATTCACTCGTTGATCTAAAGAGGACATTAAGTAAGGCGGCAACTTCCTAGCAACGAATCGCTAATAGAAAGAACAATTTCGCATTTTTAAAAATATATTTATGTTCAAAATAGTGCAGTGTCCTAATTGCCTCTATGAATGCTCTCATTAGTAGTGATAATAATTGGTTCACGAACTGTGTCAAAATTGTTTGTTGGCGAAATTTCCCCTTCGCAAATAACGGCTTTTGTGCAAACAAATGAAATCTTGTGTTTTACCAAGGACTTTAATATATTTTATGTCCATGGTCTTACCTTATGTTTCTGTCACAAGAATAAAAAAAAATAACCTATATCCTAAAAGTACCGACCCAACCACATGAAATTTTGTTCTTTGTCGCTATAAATAGAACAATGAATTTGTTTCCGCGATTGAAAACTCTTAAACTATCAACGTCACAAAGGAGATGTATCGATTGCTAGAATTTATCTTCACTGATAGGTGAGGGAGAGAGAGAGAGAGATGAGTCTCCACGCCTGATTAGTAACGACTGGATGACGCCGGTCACAGACCGTGACGACACTGTCAATCAGCACGGATCGAACACTATTTGTTATCGGTACAGCTTGTTGATAATGTGCACAAGCTGCATTCATGATGGTCAAGGACATTATTTCGCCGTTAATACTACGTCATTTCTGTATAATGTAGGTTACCGGAGATGTTCTGGATCATTAACCATTTAACCAATCGATGCAAAGGAAACGCACGTGTTCCATCTCCATGTTGTCGTAGTGAAATCAGCAAGGCTACACATTTGACAATTTGACGTACAATTTGTTTGCAATTTTAACCTCATATACAACGATTAAGTCTAGATATTCAGTTTTATGTCTTTTCATATCACTTCCAAAGAGAGGCATCAAATACATCATTGTGAAACTTATGCTGATTATTCATGCGACACTGATTCTGCTCGGTACTATCATTACCTATTGTATGTATGTTTGTATTTATTTAATAACACCAATGGCCAAGTTGACAGTTCAAATAGTCAGTAAAGCCAATGGTTGTAGTGACGTAATAAATAGAATATTTCATAGGAAAATAAATTAGAAAGTTTAGTTAATGGTGAACAAACAAGTACTAGTGAACATAGTGGATACCGTTATCACATGTCATACTACTGGTTGAAATTACAGAAACAGGAGATGCCAGAGGGAGCTTGGCGCCCACCATCGTGTGTGATCTTTATTTAGTCTTTAAAAGTCTGACATCTTTACCCCTTTAATCAAAATTCCTCTTGATTTATATGAAATGTAAAAAAAATCTTCTTAAGAAATAGCGATAATCTATTACTGTCAAATCCAAGATGGCCGCATGTCTGTCAATTTTTTTGTTTTTTAATCAGTCTCAAAATCAAACCGGCTAACCAGAAACTAAGACTAGCCTATGTATGATATTTAAGAAACAATCATCCAGTACTTCTCAAGAAATAGCAATAAGATCTTTCACAGTCAAAATCAGTGATGGCCACCAGTCGGCCATTTTAGTTTTTCTGGTTAGTTCCAAAATCAAACGTGCAAAACTATTGACCAAGGGGATAGCCATAATATCTAGAACACTGAAATGTCAGCAAAGGCCCTGCTATGGGGCTGGAAATCCCTTTGCCCCCATCCTTTGACAAACACCCTTAACTTACAGATTTTTGGCAGGAACTTAAGTACATAAGTATATATAATAAGTGACCTTGGCCTTAGAACTTGGAATATAAAAAGCAATATCCTAAGTAAGCGCTTTTGGTAAGAAAGAATTGTACGAAGTTTGAATTTTGGCTTGGCAAAGCAAATACAAGGTATCACACAGAAACTAATTTTAACTTATATAGTGACCTTTGGCCTTCGGACCTGAATGGCAATCTATTTCAAATAAGCACTAATCGTTAAGAATTATTGCATCAAGTTTGAGTTAGATTGGCCATTATAGCAACAATAACCTCAACCTTTTGACTTTTGAGTCTGAAAAGTAATCCCTATCAAGCATTTTCAGTAATAAGGCATTGCATCAAGTCTGAGTTTGATTGGATCAAGGAAACCCAAGTTATGAAATGGAAACCAATTTTTGTTATTTAGAGTAACAGTAGTCAGGACCAATGACCCTGGGAACTGCAAAGCAATTCAAAGCAAACCATTTTGTAAGGAAGCATTGAACGAGGTTTGATTGGCTGAAGCAAACTTGAGTTATTTCAGGGAAACTGGTTGTTCTATTTCAGTGACCTTGATCTTTGACCTTCAAAATTGTAAAGCAATCCTAAGCGAACACTTTCAGTAAGGAAGTAATGTATGAAGTTTGGGTTAAATTGGCCAAAGAAAAATCTGGTTTTCACATGGAAACTGATTTTTTTATTCATAGCAACAGGGATCTTGACCTTTAACCTTGAGAGATGAAATGCTTCATAACCCAAGCAAGCACTTTCTTTATAGAGGTTTGGCATAAAGTATAAGTGCGGTTGGCCCAACAAACAAAAAACAAAAAACGGAAAGACAGACAGACTCAGCTTTAAAGTACTAGTAACACTGGAATGTGCTGCAAAAACAGAAGTTATGAAAGGATTCTGTATTTAATAGTATCTAGACAGTGCAAACAAAAGGGAACTGGAATTTTCTTGAAAAACAAAGTTTACACATATAATATTTTACCTAACAACATACGATATTCTTTGTTCTATTTTAATTTTTAGAAAGAGGTGCTAAACCTATCTACTCTTTAGTTACACTATTTCTACCTTAGCGTACATGGGATAATAGTATAGCGAATAAATTAGTCGATTCCTTACCATCTTATATACTACATCGGAAGTGCTAGTATGTTGTTCCACACAGGTCATTTGTCTGATGAAGGTGACTGTATAGTCATCAAAACGTCACACTTATATCGTCTTCTGGTTGTATCATAGTTCTGTTATTCTATGAAACTTAAGTCATGATGGGGACGGGTTGCTTCATTTTATAAAGCACTGGGAACAGTCTTATTGAGACCAATTATCAAATGTATAATAACAAATAACATACGGAGTTTTCACCAATAATTGAAATCTAAATGTTTAAAGTGCTTCAGTCGTTATTAGTTACTTCGTGCAATTAACACTCGTACTTCACGTGTTCGGAAGCAGTATCATAGGACGCGATTGAAGGGAGTTAACTCGAGCAATCCTTGTCCTGGCTGGGTTGTTTTTTAAGTATGAATGATAGAGACTCGAGAAAGGACTAAATAAGATATTTGTAAACTGAAATATCATACGGAAAATAATTCGCGTACAAATGGGTAGACGCATCTTATTGTCATAACATGCGTTTTACGTTTGTTTCCAGTTGAGCGATTTAGGTATTTTCTGAATAGAGCAATAGAAATGTCATACCTTGAGACGTATATTCGAATAGTTGCATCACAAAATCCAATTCTATTCGTTCGTTGTGTTTGTTAATACATGTATCAGAGTTGGAAATATATGAAAGTTTATATTGATATCATGCTCAGAAATGTTAATACATGTCGTCTTTCCATCGTGTTTCTGTTTTCGTAACGCATCGTTCAACTTTTTGAGGGAACTAAAATTTTCATATATTTCTGAATCAATCTATCAAACCAAAATATTACAATATCTTCTCAATTTGATTGCTTCCTTTGGTTCTTTCTTTATCCGACATGACTTCGTAGCTTAAAATACATCTCTCTCTCTCTCTCTCTCTCTCTCTCTCTCTCTCTCTCTCTCTCTCTACGTTGAGGTACATTGGATATTCAGTTGACAAGACAAGTGTGATAAATATTTTTTAATGTCGACACAATCACCTCAATGACCTCCAGCTGATTTAATCATTTAATCATACAACACTAAAGATTCTCTGGTTCCTGTTTTTTCGTCTGCAAGGTGCGTCTATAACCTGCCGAGCCTATCCCTGCCGAGCCTCCTGTCTAGCCTATCCAGCCTGTCGAGACTATCCAGCCTATCCAGCCTGTCGAGACTATCCCTGTTACGTAGTCGTCCGTTACGACATCGTCGCTTCTTTCGACATATCATCTAGAAACAAAATTAAAATAAAATAAATAATATTCCAACCTGTCTCCACCCCTCCTCCCCCTTTCCCCGCCCCCGACCCCCGACTCCTCTTAAAAATAAACAACGTAGGACATCGGTTGTTGACGAGGAGATATACCCACGAAACGATCGAAAACAAATGAAATGGTTAATTATCTCAAATGCGTGTGGGTTTTTTTTTTTTTTTTCTTCTTCTGAATATTGATAGGACAACCATACGATATCGCTTA